CAGCAAAACACACTTCAACTGTCACCCACCCAAAGCAGCAAGTGCTGACAGCATCTCAACCCTGCCTGGACAACAGTAGAAATTGCTCAAGTCCAGCACAGTTGGTTCCTTCTAGGTTCTCAAAGATTTGTGCAGCTAACAATGTACTAGCTGAACAGAAGGAGTAATGCAGGCAGCAGCAACTTTAAGGATAGAAATGAATCGGCCATGTAAATGGATGGGGAAGGAACCAAGAGCGAGCAGAAGCAAAGACACCTCCAGAAAACTTGGAAAAGTGGTCCATCGGCTTACACAAGAGGTAAGCAAATGATTTAATGCATTCTTTCTGAAAAAAATGTTTGAGGAACTTTAAAGAGCTCTGCTTTCAGTAATCTCATCGCACATATCCTGCCTGTATTTTACATCTATACTCATATATTTTACCCTATACTCATATATTTTATTAGTAAAAGATGATAGCTTGATGCACAAGGACTGTGAGGCAAAATCAGGCCAATCAGTGTGGTGGGTTGTATGCCCTGCACTCTAACCTCAGCCCTTCCCATCCACTTAGTGTCCCATCAACTATATACAAATCTTTCAACATTTTCCCTAAAGACACAGAAAGACAAAATATAGTGAATGGAAAAAGCATGCAGTATTACTCAGAGGGAGGTCTCACATTAAATACACCAATTTCATAATTACTTCTGTGCAAAACCATCTATAAAAAATGTAAAATGTTTGTAAGAATGTATAATTGAATAAATGTAATTCCTCCCAGAAGAATTTAAAAAAGCTTTAGAAAACAGTTTGTACTTACAGATGTTCATACCAGCACAATATAGATGTTCACTCTCCCTTCTTCCCTTCATTTGGGCATTCCATAAACCAAGGCATTTAATCTTGCAAAAACACACACCAAGAATTTCTCCTGCTGCATTTCTAGAAATTGCTGTGCTCTGATGTAAGTAATGAGAAAAATAGGACTGACATTTTTTTTTAAAGGAAAATACAAATGGGACTGTTTACAAATAAGTCTATTAAGCCTTTTTCTTTTTGCAGGACCTCCAGTAACCCTGAGCCATGTCAGATTAGTATGATTTTTTTTTTAATAAAACTTCCAATTTCTAAAAGGTAACTTCTTTGTTATGCAGATTTTTTTTGAAAAGAAGTTTTAATCACTTACATTTCCTGAATTTTTAACAATATGCATGTGCCAAGACTTTTTTCCCAAAAAACTAAGCTCTTCCTTCCACGTAACAGACTGAAAGAGGCAATTATATAGCCTTATTCTACAGAGAATACATCTGCAAGTGCAAAAGGATGACAAAAATCCTTTTCATTCTAGATGCATAAGAAAAACCATCAGGATCTCTGGAAGAGCCAAGCACATTTCCCTTAGAAGCCTCAGGAACTGCAAAAATACCCTTTTTTAGAGCTGTTCTTCTCCACCGTGGAAAAGTCTTATCATTGCTTTCAACAAAACAGCAACCCAAGTTTAGGCAGATGAACCGCTTACGTCCCTAAGCTTCCCAAAAATTCAGCTCAAAACACCTAATGTCAGGCTTATGCACCAACTCTCCCTCAGAAGGTATCAGTCTCTCAGTACTGACCTCCTCTTCTATAACTAGCCACCTTTTATCTTGGACAGCTCATTTAACTGGCTGAAATCAGGTAGGCTATTACCTCCACCCCAAGGAAACTAAGTCACAAACAGAAGCAACAAACAAAGACAAACCAGAATATTAACAATATTCTCAACTTAAGACAAAGCATTCAGCAGATGGTCAGAGTAACATTTCACAAGATATAAATCTAATGCCTAGGAGAAGGAAATAAGCTGTTTAGAGACCAGCACTGTAGCTTCTTAACACACACACACACACACATACACACACACACACACACAAAAGAAACAACCACAAAACCAAAATCCCAAAGAAAAGGAAAGTAGACTAGTTCCAAGCCTTTTTTCTTAAGCCCACATAGTGAATTCCAAGCTTGGAGTAAAAGGGCTTGGAGCTCAACTTTTATTCCACAGGATAAAGACTTAACAATATTTGAGAAGGTCACAGAGGCCCTGACCACCGATACAAGTTGCATCTTAAAGCACTTTTACCTTTGCTCTCTTGCCCTCAGCTTCCAGGATGTCAAGCTAGATCAGCAGAAGGAATCAGGAAATGTATACAAACTTCACAGCACACACCAAGCACATCCAGTCAGATTTTGGAGGCCCACACAAGACGTCTAGAGCTGCTGCTCTGAACAGGATATTAACCCAGTGGAAAGGTCTGCTCTAAATAACTGCTCTCCTGGCACACTCCCTTCCCTGAAAGAGGAGTCCATTTTGCAGGATGCTGGCAAGCCAAGTGTAACTTTTCAAAACACTTGCCACCAACATTTTAAAGAAAACCTAAAACATGATACATTAGTAACATATCAGATCTATGAAATAAGGATAAGGCACCTAACATACCTGTAGCACTGTTGTCTGGGAAAATAACCTATCCTGCCACTCAACTAGCCCAGAACAGCAGAGATGTTCTAACACAGCCCCTGCGCATATGTTTTTTTAGATTAACTTAAAAATATGTCACCATTTAAGACCAAATATCACCATTAGATATCATTTATTAGATCCATGTAACAAGATTTGCTGTCTTGGCAGTTTCCACCTCATCTGCTGAATGACAACAGAAATACGACACACAGTAAAAACAAAGGCTTGTATGCCAAGAAAACCTGAAAAACTGTTGAGGTACTTAAGTGTTACCCAGTATATCAACCACTGACTTCCTTCCATGCTAAGCAAAGACAAGCCACATCTGTTCTTTTCACAGGAAGTCAGCAGCTTACACATTCCTCATGGTCTAAAGCATTAGCTTGAGATCTGATCAACAGAGGTTTTAAGTTGTCATAGTTGCTAATGCAGTTACTGGGAGCTGTGCTTAGAGTGGTGATGTATGTGATGTAGTAATTACAGGGTTCCACGCCTATGATCTTGTATGAACATTCTGAATAATGTTTTGTTTTGAGGTTTTCAGTTTCTTGTTTGTAAATGAAATCCTACAGCAGACAATACAGCAGAAAAAATTTATCAGGAATTTGTTCCTAACTTCAAAAGCAGTCTGAAAATAACAGATAAAGAAATAGATTGGTCTACTTAAATAAGCAACACCCTCATAGAAATGCAGCATGACCTAGGTAACTGAAGAGAGAGGTAGATCAGGAACTGGCTTAACTGCCGTGCTCAAAGGGTTGTGGAGGAGCAGGAAGTCCAGCTGGAGGACAGTTATAGTGGAGTAACCTGGACATTGATACCTTGTGCCAATACAGTTCAACAACTTCATTAAGGACTGGGATGAGGGCACAGAGCACACCCTCAGCACGTTTGCAGTTGATACAAAACTGGGAGGAGTGGTTGACGCACCACAGGGTTGCGCTGCAGGTGAGGGGAACCTTGAGAGGCTGCAGAAATAGGCCAACCCAGTGGACTCTTCCAGTTAACACAGGGATGTGCAAAACCCTGCACCAGCACAGGCTGAGGACCAACTAGCTGGACAGCAGCCCAACAGAGGAGGACTGGAGGGCTCCTGTTGGAGGACAGGCTGACCATAAGCCATCAGCATGCCTCTGTGGGAAAGCAGGCCAGCAGCCTCCTGGACAGGATTAGGAAGAGCCCTGCCAGTAGGCTGAGGGAGATGATTCTTCCCCTCTGCTCATCACTGGTGAGACACATCTGGAGCACCATGGTCAGTTCTGGGCTTGCCAGTCCAAGACAGACACAGGCATACTGGAGCAAGTCTAGCAAAGGGCCCTAGAAAGGATGTAGGGAGCAGAGCATCAGTCACACAAGGAGAAGGTGAGAACAGTGAACTGTTCAGCACAAAGAACATAAAGCAGGGTGAGGGGAAGAAGAATTTTATCAGTACATACAAATACCTGATGACAGAGTGTAAAGATGTAGCCAGACTGAGAAGCACTGAGGTTGGAAGAGATGTCTTAATATCATTTAGTCCAATTCACCTGCTAACAGTCACCTAGAGCAGGCTGCCCAGGTCTGTGTCCAGTCAGGTTTTACAACCACGGTAGACCAGCTGTACCAGTACTCAGCCACCCTCACAGTAAGAAAAGTTCCTCTCTACTCCACTCTCATGAGACCTCACCTGCAGTGCTGTGTCCAGCTCTGGGGCCCCCAACATAAGGACACGGACCTGCTCAAGTGGGTCCAAAGGAGAATTAGGGGCCTGGAGCACCTCCCCTATGAGGACAGGCTGACAGAGTTGCTTTTGTTCAGCCTGGAGAAGAGAAGGCTCTGGGGAGACCTTAGAGCAGCCTTCCAGTAATTAAGGGGCCTACAGGAAAGATGGGGAAGGACCCTTTATCAGGGACTGTAGGGACAGGACAAGGGGTAACGGTTTTAAACTGAAAGAGGGTAGATTAGATGTAAGGAAGAAATTAATGACTGTGAGGGTGGTGAGGCATTGGCACAGGTTGCCCAGAGAAGCTGTGGCTGCCCCCTCCCTGGCAGTGTTCAAGGCCAGGTTGGACGGGGCTTCGGCCAACCTGGTCTAGTGGAAGGTGTCCCTGCCCGTGGCAGCAGGGGTTGCAACTAAGTGATCTTTAAGGTCCCTTTCAGCCCAAACCATTCTATTATGCTTCTATGAAAGATTGCCTGTTGCATATAATTCTTTAGTATTTGACAAAAATCGCCAAATTATCATTCCTTATTCAATTTTGTCCATTTAATGTTAAAGTGTGACATGGATTTGTTTTTCTTCATGATATATAAAACGGTAGCTTTCTTCAGTAACTGCAGAGATGTAGGCATCACCAATATTATTCCTTGAACTACTGGTCTTTACTACTATTGGATAAGCAACATTGTGGTGATAGTTACTAATCAAGGAAAACAGCATTTAAGTTAAATGCAAACCATAGCATTAGAGCTCCGTATCCAATCCAATTGCTAAGACTTTAAAGCACGAGTGAAATACCACTACATAGTTCGAACCTACCTTTCTGCAATAATTTGACCTCTCCATTTTCTTTCTTGATTTCATTCATTATTTTGTGCTTCTTCTTCTCTTTTTGCTTCTTTTCCCTTTCTTTAATTTTGTCTTTGATTTGAGCTGAAATGCAAATATTTTATGATTAAGTAGGAACAGAAAACTAATTGTCTCATGCACATTTCATATTACTCATATAAGCTTTATTAAGATAGGAGTTACAAGGAAATCCCAGTACTTATAACATGCAAAGCTAATATTTATCTGTTGCATAATCCAGCATAAACCTAACTCAGTCAAGTTTTGTTTCTGTTAGAAGTGTATGCAACAATTCACCATATTAACTGTATACAGTTAACAATTTTTGCTTACTTCTACTACCCTCTGCTCTTATTTTCCATCTGTAGTCAGCTCCTACTTCTTGAAATTCAAATTACATGCATTAGCTAAGGAATGGGCGGGGGGGGGG